CTCGGGGAGCCAGCGGCAGCCAGGATGGCCTCGTCGTCGGGCAACGACGACGACCTCACCATCCCCAGGGCTGCCATCAACAAGATGATCAAAGAAACGCTCCCCAACGTCCGCGTGGCTAATGATGCCCGGGAGCTGGTGGTAAACTGCTGCACTGAATTCATCCACCTCATCTCCTCCGAGGCCAACGAGATCTGCAACAAATCGGAGAAGAAAACCATCTCCCCCGAGCATGTCATACAAGGTGAGCTCCCGGAGGCAGTGTGCTCCTGCCCGGTGCGCCACGGGTCGTTGAGGCTTTGTGCCATTCCTGCCCCGTGCCGAGTTTTTCCTCTGTGGTCCCTTGTAGCCACGTAAAAGACAAAAGGCAGAGATCCTTTAAAGGTCTGGAGGAAAAGTATGTGTTGCCTGGCTTGTCAGTTGCATTGCAAGGGAATGTTGTCTTTGTGTAGTGAGAGTGACTGTTGAGCGTGCTCAGGAGCAGTTCTCATTTTGTGGTTCGGAGAAGTCTGTGATGTTTTGAGTGAAGTCACCAAATCTATTCTTTTTTTTCATACCTGTGAGATATGAGGTCTGCTTTTTCCAATGGTTACACAGATGTCTTTCACAGTATGCTTTAAGATTCTGGACTTATTAAATGTCTTTCTAATTGGAGACTGACAAAAGATGTATGATTGGGTATGTGGGGCCCAAGCTTCAATCCAGAGTCATCCTGTCTGGATCCTGTAAAGAGTAAAATATTCCTCTAGGGATATCCTTGGAGTCTGATTGTCTAAAATTAAGTATTTCTATCTGTTGCAGAAAGCATTTAAACGTGACCTATGCCCTTGCATCTTTTTCTGCTGTTGACTTCCACTTCCCCTGGCTTGAATAAAAGGAACATTCTCTCTTTGCCTCTCATTTGGTTTTCTTTAAGTTCTGTCACAAATAGGGAGTTCCCTTGCCTCATCTTTAGTCTGCAACAGGCATCTTTTTTTCAGGAATCATTCACTTTGCTGCTTAAGCAAAGGTTGTCAATACCAGTGTCTGCTGCAAACAAATTTATAGCAGTAACAGTGAAACACTACTTTGCTCTGCTGCCTGGTAGAGATATTAACAGTAGCATTTGCAGTGGAGCTATTTTCAGGACCAGGACTGCAATGGTATCAAGTTAGTTTAAAAAATGTTACAGTTGTTTTGGTAATTATTATCTGTTTGAAACAAACAAACAAACAAAAAATCTGATTCCTTTGCTTTATAACAACTTGCTTACCAGAAGAGTTTCAAGTACTTGACTGGATTATGAAGAGCAAAAGAAAATATGTAGCATGTATAAGCTTTAATATTAAATAAAATAAATGTGAGTCTGGAAGCCTAGCAAAGCTAAGCTCCATCACAGAAGCTCAGTATGTAAATAGTAAAACTTGTGCTTGCATGTGGAAGCATACTTTGGATGTGATGCTTCTAAATACATGGGTAGCTTCTTCAAGTGACCACCAAAACATTTGAGCTCAGTTCTTAACTCAGGAATAGACATGATCTTTAAGGTTGAAGACAATAAAGAATTCATGTATGAAAGTATTTTTTACCCAGTAGCAGTGGTTCTTAGAAAAGATTTCACTAACCCTGTTGCTGCCCTAGGGTTAGTCTGGGGTTTTTGGGGAAAATCAATTGAAACCAAAAAGCGTGTGTATGTACGCACACGTGTGTGTGCGCGTATCATCAACAGGTGGTCCCAAACCAAGTATTTCACTGGGTTCTATGTCTTTGTGTTACCAGATTTTAGAGTTAGATCTAATTTGAAAATAATTTTTCCTGTGCTTTTTAGTCAGGTATTGCTAAAGAAAACTTTGGAGATGTATTAATATTTTTAATGCTCTGGAGATGGAGCACCAAGCTGTGTGGAGTGGTTGACATGCTGGAGGGAAGGGATGCTATCCAGAGGGACCTGGACAGGTTTGAGACGTGGGCCTCTGCAAACCTCGTGAAGTTCAGCAAGGTCAAGTGCAAGGTCCTGCACATGGGCTGGGGCAATTCCACGCACAAATACAGGCTGGGTGGAGAATGGATTGAGAGCAGCCCTTATGAGAAGGACTTGGGGGTATTAGTTGATGAGAAGCTCCACGTGAGCTGGCAATATGTGCTCACAGCCCA